TTTGTAAGTTTTATATTGTGCTGACGCCAAAAACATTGAACACAAATTTCATTACATCGTATTTTTTCAAAGAATAATATAAGGGTGTATTTTTATAAACTATCAAATGAAAATATTCGGGGGGTGCCCATCTCAACAACAAAACTGATTCACTGGTCATGTAATGAAAAACTCACAATTATATTTTACAAGTACTTCAATTGTTTAATCTACACAAATTTGGAAGTATATTGGATCTCTTATTTCTTGGTATCATTTTCAATCTTTTTTATTACTAATTCATTCAAATAATTGCATTTTCCCTAATATTAATTTTGTAATAATCTGGTGGTATTGCGACTAAGGCTAATTCTCGGCTCCTCTTCTCGCCGATAATATCGATCTCACGAGATACTAGCTAGTAAGCTCTTCGTGAAACGGTTTAGGAAGATCAGAGACATCTCCGTAGTTGGCGGATAAAGTTATGACTGTCTTGTCGTTGGTTTCTAGGAACGAGCCCCTGAAGTCTTCGAAAAGCCCCTACAATAATTATCTCTTTGATAAGTGTTACCTGTGATTGTAAAATGCACCTTTTTAAGCGCATTGTGAAGACCTGCGGTCCTTTAATGCGCTTAAGAAGAACTCATCATTATTATCTCTAGACCCAGTGAGGATGCAATGACGCGAGATCAGAGACCCCCAACCCCGTAAAAAATGGAAAAGGAAATTTAGAAAGGGAAAAGAACGCGAAAGACAGGGAAAAGGAAAAAAGTTAACAGAACTCTCATCCCCAATTTGGTGGCCTAGCTAACACACATTTCATCCACTTACATATGGCTCCGGACCGGTTGTCTCATTTTCGTTCGCTGGATCACTGCAGCACAAACATATCTCCTTCGACGTCACTACCAAACTAGCCAATCAGCTGTAAATGACGTCATATTGAATGCGTGGGGGGGGGGGGGGGGGGGTCAAAAATGCGTGTTTGCCCCCCCCCCAAAAAAAAAAAAAAAAAAAAAAACGCCCCCCCCCCTCTCCCCAAAAAAGAAAAAAAAAAGCAGTAAAGGAGTAAAGATGGTTTGTATTTTTAACCCAAAAGAACATAACAATAATAAAAACCGCTTAAAAATACGCTTATTATTTTAGAAGCCTTTATGCCATGGTCTGCAAAGTGGCTGGGCTCGACCCCCCCCCCCCCCCCCTCCAAAAAGAAAGAAAGACGAAGAGAAAAAAATAAGTGACCTGCCAATGTCACAAATCAGGTATAAAAAATGCTCATCTGACCGTAATTAAATGCCTTAAACCCCAGAGCTTACGGGGGCTCCGCCCCCGGACCCCGGCAAGGGCCCTCAGGCGGCCCCTGGATGCTCATCTGACCGGTATTAAATACCTAAAACCCCCGAGCTTCCGGGGGCTCTGCCCCTGGACCCCACCAAGGGCCCAAAGGCGGGCCCCTGGATGCTCATCTGACCATAATTAAATATCTGAAACCCCTCAGCTTCCGGGGGCTCTGCCCCCTGGACCTCACCAAGAGCCCTAAGGCGGGCCTCTGGATGCTCATCTGACCGTAATTAAATACCTAAAACCCCTGAGCTTCCGGGGGCTCTGCCCCTGGACCCCATCAAGGGCCCTAAGGCGGTCCCTGAATGCTTATCTGACCGTAGTTAAATATTAAAACCTCTGAGCTTCTAGTTTCTCTCCCCCCCCCCCGCCCCCCCCCCCACTCAGTGTTATTTAGGGTACGCATATGCTTGTTCCCTCTTTTTGAAAGCACCCCCTATTATGAGGACTGCCAACATTTCCGAACCCCCCTTTTGCGGGCTTTTCGGGGGCTTTTCCTGCCTCGGAGACCCTCCTAAATCATGAAAAATGCTCAATGTTCCCCCCTAAATTCGGAATAATTTCTCAGGAGTCCAAAGAGATGAGAGAAAAAAAGAGAAAAAACCCCTCTTTTTAAAGAAATCTCCGGGTGAAAAGTTAATAAACCCCGGACTCGGTCGCATGAAAAATACCCCTTTACCGGACATTTTGGTAACACGCATGGGGTCCGTCCGTTCTCGGAGTGGGGGGGGGGGCGGCTCCCCCCCCCCCCCACTGGAACACGTCAATGGCCTTAAAGAGGGCCACTGGATGCTCATCTAACCGTAATTAAATAACCCCTGAGCTTCCGGGGGCTCAGCTCCTTGACCCCCTGCCGAGGCTCAAACCCTGGACCCACGCCAATTTCCGCTCTACCTGATCGTTAATACTCCACTTTGAAAAACGTTCCGCGGAACCAGCATGTAACGTGTAAGACTGCTGGTGATGCAGATTTTTCGTCAGCCCCCCCCCCTTCCGAACGTCTTTTCTCATTACGTCACTGCCCCTGGAAGGTGAGCCCCCTGGAATGTTTGCCCCCCCCCCCCCAATCCCAAACTGCTTCCGGCGCGCCTGGTTGTACCGCAGGAAAATACAAATCTCCCTGGTATACCTTACAGTCCAAACAATAAATATGTGCCTTTAACGAAGCAGGCGACAATCGTATATGACGTCACAAACATCACTATACTTGGATGGAGGCTAGACGCAGAGGGTGCTAGGCTGGATGGAGCCTGATGAGGGGGTGCACATTTAGATGAAATCATGCTAGGAGGTAGATGGAGTTAATTGATGTACATCTCTAAGGCTCGATGGAGAGGGTGCTAGGCTGGACGGAGGGGGTGCTAGTTTAGATGGCCCCTGCTTCTTCAAATGTAAATAATCATAAAGTGTCGATAAAAAAATGGTGCACATCTTCCCAGGCTTTCACAGTGTGAAACGATTGTTAATATTAGTACTTTTTCAATTTCAGCCATTTTCAATCCACTGCAGGATGAAGGCCACATCATGATGTTTCCAAATGCCTCTGTTCAGCGCCTGTTGGTGCCAATTTGTCTCTCCCCAGTACTGTTGCAGCTCGTCTCGCCATCTTTTTCTTTGACGTCCCCTGTTTCGTTTTCCCTCATATGGTGTCCAGTGACAGTGACTGATTGCCGAGCTCCAGCGATTGTCATTCCTACTGCTGATGTGGCCCGCCCAATTCCATTTCCTTCTTTTCACTGTTTCAAGGATGTCCTGGACTTTTGTCTGTTCCCTGATCTTTTGATTTTTCTGTCTTTGTATGTGATGCTTAGAATACTTCTTTCCATGTTGTGTTGATATGCTGCTAGCTTTCTTTCCATTTTTTTTATGTTAGTGTCCATGTTTCTGCAGCGTATGAGATTTAATAATTTAATAAACATGTTCAAAAGTACTTCAATTATTTTGATATTCAAATTTCGCAATCCAATTGGCTTTTGCCATAAACATAATCAATTTAATAACAGACTAAATTAGATAATGTGTAGAATATTTTAAAACTAATTAAATTAATTGTTAGCAGGGTGGGTGATAAGGTTGGGGTCTTATTTTGTTACATTATGGATGGTAGGGGATATTTTAATAGATTGTAATGATTTTGTTAGTGTTTTTTGTTTAATTGAATTTAATGTAGTTAATTTTAGTAAAAGGACAATGTTTTAATTAAGACTCACTATTTTGTTATATCATTACTTATTCTAGTATTATTATATATATATATATTGGACTCCATGGAAGAACAGAGCCATTACGTTAATGGCTCTGAAATTGACTATCCAACCGTTTTATCATTCTATTATTGTTGTATAAGTCTTTGATTTTGTTATTTTGTGTTTTTGTTTTTTTATGATGATTTACGGAAATAAAACAAACAAAACCGGACTTAGGGGGGGGGGGGGTTCAAAGGGAGGGAACATGCATACGCGTACCCTAAATAACACTGAGTAGGGGGGGGGAGCCCGGTACTGAAGGCGCAAGTGTATTTTTTTATTTTATTTATTAAGTATATTGAAAATGATGTTTTTTTTTTAACGCAGAGCCCTGTGAAAGACCAGTTTAGTTTTCTATTCTTTAACAACTCTTTGAAATATTATGTTTTATGTATGTATCTTTTATTTCAATTGCTTTTTATTGTACATACGTTTTATAAATGAACATGCTACTCTGATTAAAGATGGGAGCTAAATAAATAGATAAATAAGTAGAAGTGCTGACGCTAGAAGAAGAAGAAGAAGAAGAAGGAAGAAGAAGAAGAAGAAGAAGAAGAAGAAGAAGAAGGAAAAAAAAATGAGAAGAAGATGAAGCAGAAGAAGAAGAAGAAGAAGAAGAAGAAGAATGAGAAGAAGATGAAGCATAAGAAGAAGAAGAAGAAGAAGAACTTAGAAGAAGAATAAAGAAGAAGAATGAAGATGAATATACGCAACTCAGAAATACGAAGACAATAGGGACCTTTTCTGGTTATATGATAATTAGCAACGAGGTCTGATCTTGACCAACAACTTAAGTGTTATTAGACACGTTACCACAACGCCGGTCTGATAGATAAATTCATATTTTAGAATTGAATTTAATGGAATTTATTTAATCACGGTAAAATTCACATCAGCCTAAAAAGACTACTTTTCAGCAAGTCCGTATTACAAGCATAAACAGATCATAAAGACACCAAATTAAATATAAAAAAAATACATAGGAAAAACAACTTAAAGATAACATAATTTCTATATAAAACAGAGTGAAGAGAGAAAGCTAATACAAAAAAATGAAATTGCAAACATAAACATAATTATGCGATATGGGTCTACTAAAAAGTGTGATATGAATGAAAAAGGAACGACAAAATTAAATTAAAAAGCTAACCCATCAAGTTAAAATAACAAACATACAAATACATGATATGACAAGTGTAATTTGAATCAACAGGGATAATGTTAGAATAAAATGGGGTAGGATAACAAAAGAAAAGGGAAAGAGAGAAAGAATGTGAGAAAAAAGGCGAAGGGTCCCAATAACGAAAGAGAGAACATGAAGCTTGAAAACAGGAGAGTAAGATACGGGAAGGGGAGAGAGGGGAGGGAGAGGGAGAGATAGAATAGAAAAGAAAAGAAGTGGGATAGACAGTGAGTGACAGAGAATCTATATACCTTTATAGTTGAAATTGCCGGGTATTTAAAAGACGAATTCTTACAGGTAAGGCGTGGGGAATAATTGAACACTTGAATAGATAAATCCCATTCGTTTAAAGTTGGTTTCGGGGATTTCTTAAGTGGGCTTTTGGTCAGAATTCCTGAACCCGTAAAGTGTATTCTTTAAAATGAAATATAGAGGCTCTTAAGGAGGAATAAGAGCTGAGTTAGACTTGATTTCCAACAAATAATGGAAGTGTAATTTCCTAGCATGAAATCCAGTGACACATTCCGTGTAGAATGACACCTCGACAGACAGTCAGGGGCAGCGATCCCGGGGGACGGGGCGGGGGGGGGGGGGGGTGGGGTGGGAGACACGCCCCCCTCAATTTTTATCGTCCCCCCCCCCTCAAAATTCGAAAAAGTGTTTTTTTTTTGTTGAAAATAGCAAATGCTGACTAAAGACTGCAACACACTTTTAGGCTCTGGAGGGCCCAAGAGTGCAGCGTTTAGACAAATAAAAATGCAACATTTTTCTCACTGGGTAGCTACGCTCCCTCGCATAATGTCCTTCAAAAAGTACAAGTAAATAACGAGAAAATTGAAGTGTGGAAAAAGTATATTGCTTGTTTTATACCATAGATTTGCTAAGGAATGTAAATTTGTAATACAACAAAACTTCAAAAACTTGTGAGGGGGTAGTCACTTCCGTTCCCTTCACCCCTTTCATTCACTATGCTCTCTCGCACTTGCATACTGATGGGGATGGGGGGGGGTGGCTTTGGGGGCAGTTCCCCCCAAAAAATGAAATTCAAACGTGGTTTATTTCTTATTCGATACCAGTGATTTACAAATAATGTTGAAATGGCATGATTTTTCCCTGAGCTTCCGGGGACACTGCCCCCTGGACCCTACCAAGGGCCCTAAGGCGGGCCCCTGGATGCTCATCTGGTCGTAATTTAATGCCTAAAATGCCTGAGCTTACAGAGGCTCTGCCCCCTGGACCCCACAAAGGGCCCTACGGCGGCCTCAGATGCTCATCTGATCGTAATGTACATGTAATGCCTAAAACTCCTGAGCTTACGATATTGCTCATTACGCCACTGCTCCCTCGCCCCTCGTATTTCGTCCCCCCAGTTAGGAAAAGAAATCGCCGCCCCTGTTGACAGTGCATACTGAAGTCAATGAACAATACAGCCTTTCGTTGCTGCAATATAATATATCGCGGCAGGTGCCATGAAATCAATATTACAACGTGAATAGACGCATTGAAGAAAAAGTAGGAATTGCTAATGACATATATTATGCAAGAGGGGAGAAGGTTGGGAAATGAAGAAATGATAACAAAATAAGAAGGATAAACAGAATACGGGGGAATACAAAAGTGATTATTCTAAGATACCCAAATTGGAACTACACCAAGTTTAAAATATCTGTGGATATATAAGTTGATTTGATTTATTTATTTGTCTTCATGGTCTTTTACAATATTACAAATGAATTAAAACATAGTCATGATAATAAACAAGTAATATGATTATTACATAATCAAAGTAAATTACTTATACATATCAAATTCAACATCAATATTAGATAACCTTGAACAAGGTTTATTCAAGTTTTATTCAAAATAGAGGGTAGGTACATTCAGGTTAACAAAACTACTTTCCAAGTACGCCCTCTAGGATTGCCACATAATTGAAAAGCTTGAAGGCGTGGTAATATTCGGGATTATTATTTTGTAACGTGTGCTAAATAATTAAGAACCGGTCTAGTGCCTTACGATGCTGGGCGGGTTCCTCGGGTTCCTATGGCACATAGAGGAGACGATTCGGAGAACCGGGTTGAGCGTCGGCAACCACATCCTTAGTTGTGTCATCCATGAGCTTCAGCTTGAGATCGCTAGGGGACATTCCCTCAGAGTTACCGAGAGCGATAGCTACAGCACCTGTTTAAGGAAGCCACATAATTTACGCTGATTAACGTCACCTTCTAGTGACATTCTTGCATTACTGCTTTTGATCAAGAATACTAGGAATTACACATTACATATCAAGCATAAGGTCGCGATTCAATTTGAAGTTGATATAGGTTGAATCTAGGAAATTGACGCAGAGCAGTTGACCACAGAGCAAGTGTCGTATAATCAGCCAGTCCGGAGAGATATAAACTCGTAACAAAATGTAATGCTTATATTCTTATTGAGTTTAACTTTTTACTGGTAAATGTCAAGGTATTTTGTTGCTCCATGGCCGAGATTAAGGGGGGGGGGGTCAAGCGGGTAAATAACCCAGCAATTTTTCAGGGTTCAAATACCTGCAACGTGAGGACAAGCCATCGATGTTCCACTATAAACTTGTACAATCTCTTCACCACGTATTGACGCACTTGGGATATCAACACCAGGGGCAAAGACATCCACACAGGTTCCGTAATTAGAGAAAGAAGCCCGACGATCGTTGAGAAATGTAGCACCCACGGTTATCGCCTGTATGGGAAGAGAAATAGTCGGCTTCATTCTTGACGACAAATTTAAAACACACATCAGTCAAACCTGTTTTTAGACCACTTACGGGAAACAAGAAGAGCGGTCTTTGTACACTGTTATTATATAGGTAAGTGATCTTATGTACAAGCTCTGTTTATTTAGTTGCCCTTTTCGGGTTGCCTTGGACAGCTCTGAAAACCAGCGCTATCATGTTGTTATTGACGAGAATGCTGGGCTATCTATCCATATACATTTCGCTTTGTTTGTTTCATGTTATTTTTTAATAAAGAAAATATTATACTACTTTTAGTTTATGTTTTTTTAATGAGATATTCTATGCTTAAGGGAAACGTGAAATATGGTCTTTTTTATGACAGGTGTTTATTCTATACAGGTCGCTACCAAAAAAGGTTTTACTTTCTTAAATATTGTACGGAACAAATGAAAATCAGCACATAAAGTAATTCATAAAGTTGTAATGAATTGTTTCGGCTTGCACCCATAAGATAAAGATGTTCGATCTTGTAATTGAAAACAACTCAGAATTTAGTTTTTGAACCAGCGGGATTTGCACCTGCCATTAGGGACTTTTAGATTTGCGTGGACTGATACGTGTGACGTCCATTCAAGGCAGTGCATTAAAAGGACGTCGATCGAAGCAATCCACGTTGTCTTCGTGCGAATCTAAAAGTCCCTATTTACTGCTTGTCGACCAGCGAGCGCACGATCTATAATTATTTGATGGGTGCAAGCCAAAAATGTATTATGCAACAAGTTACATTTCTCATATGAAGCCTAACATTCAAAGTAAATTATATAGTTTAAAGTTGCCAATTTGCTTTGTGATATTCAAACCTATTGAAATGCGTATACTTTCAAATTCATTATCAACGTAATATGTTCACTAACCTCTGTGACTCTGGCCGGCGAGAACAAACAGGAATCATCGTTGGAATTACCACCCGCTACTGCCGTTGTGATGCCGGCATTGATCATTCCCCTGACAGCATCATCCAGAGCCACCTGTGCCCCGCCTCCAAGTGACATGGAAGCCACGGCCGGCTTCTCGGATGATTTCGCCACATAATCACAGCCTGCATGGAAGTAAAAACGGATCTATGATATCACGATTTAACTCTAAATATACATTTCACCAACACTTTACGCATACTGCCAAACCGACTCTATAACGACTTTGAACCGACTCTATGACTACTCCAAACCGAATCTATAACGACTTTCATACCGACTCTATTTAAAAACAGCTCCAAACAGACTCTATAACGACTCTAAACCGACTGTATAACGCCTCCAAACCGACTCTATAACGACTCCAAACCGACTGATTCTTGGTCATTGGAGGCAATGTAATTTCTTGTTCGGCCTGTTGCCGGTGTATTGTCGGTTTCGTGGGTGTGACTAGAGTAGGGCATAAGTAGGTATATCAGGGAATGAACCCACGACCATCGCATCTCGGTCGATCCAGCCAAGTACTTAAACAAATCGACTGTCAAATACCTCATTTTGAAAAGTCGCGATGTTTCGCGCACCCGTTTACACTTGTGCGGAAACATCACCGACTGAAAAGCTCAGTGATGTTTTGGCGTGTTTCAGTTGGTAATGCGCATGCGCGGCACTCCGATGCAAACACTTTCCTTCTATCACTTTCTCTTTCTGTCTTTCCTTATGTTATTTTTTGTTGCTACCTTCTATCATTTTCTGTCTTTCCTTATGTTATTCTTTGTTTCTTCATTTTTGTATCACATTCTCTTGTGTTATTCTTTTCTTTTTTTTTATCATTCTATCACTTCCTCTTTCTGTGTTTCTTTATTTTATTCTTTGTTTCTTCCTTCTATCACCTTTTATTATTTTATTGTTTGTTTTTTATCATTCTATCACTCCCTCTTTCTGTGTTTCCTTATGTTATTCTTTATTTATCCCTTTTATCACCTTCTCTTATGTTATTCTTTGTTTTTTAATCATTCTATCACTTTTTCCTTGTGTCTTTCCTTATGTTATTCTTTATTTATTCCTTTTGTCACCTTCTCTTATGTTATTCTTTGTTTTTTTTTATCATTCTATCACTTCCTCTTTCTGTGTTTCTTTATTTTATTCTTTGTTTCTTCCTTCTATCACCTTATCTTATGTTATTCTTTGTTTTTTATCATTATATCACTCCCTCTTTCTGTGTTTCCTTATGTTATTCTTTGTTTCTTCCTTTGGTATCACCTTCTCTTATGTTATTCTTTGTTTTTTATCATTCTATCACTCCCTCATTCTGTGTTTCCTTATGTTATTCTTTATTTATTCCTTTTATCACCTTCTCTTATGTTATTCTTTGTTTTTTAATCATTCTATCACTTTTTCCTTCTGTCTTTCCTTGTGTTATTCTTTGTTTCTTCCTTCTATCACTTGCTCTTTCTGTCTTTCCTTATGTTATTCTTTGTTTCTTCCTTTGGTATCACCTTCTCTTATGTTATTCTTTGTTTTTTATCATTCTATCACTCCCTCTTTCTGTGTTTCCTTATGTTATTCTTTATTTATTCCTTTTATCACCTTCTCCTATGTTATTCTTTGTTTTTTTTATCTTTCTATCACTTCCTCTTTCTGTGTTTCTTTATTTTATTCTTTGTTTATTCCTTCTATCACCTTATCTTATGTTATTCTTTGTTTTTTATCATTCTGTCACTCCCTCTTACTGTGTTTCCTTATGTTTTTCTTTGTTTTTATCATTCTATCACTTTCTCTTTCTGTCTTTTCTTATGTTATTCCTTATGTTATTCTTTGTTTCTTCCTTCTATCACTTTCTCTTTCTGTCTTTCCTTATGTTATTCCTTATGTTATTATTTGTTTCTTCCTTCTATCACCTTCTCTTATGTTATTCTTTG